TCCTCAGGGATCACCTCTCAGGCCTTGAATGGCCCCCTATACCCCTTTTTTGTTACCTTTCCAGTATTATACCTTCCTCCCTCCCCCTCTATATGACTCCATGACTTCGTGCAACCCCCCACGTAAACTAACCGTCTTGTATAGTACTTCTCGGGCTCCCTCCCAGCTGGCGATGCCATATTTTTTTCAAATACTACACACTCTCCCCATGGGCTCGCTAAACATCCTCACCCTGAATGTGCAGGGTCTTAACATACCACAGAAACGCAACAAGGCTTTCCGCTTTTTTGCTTCACTTAAAGCTCACGTAGTCTGCCTACAGGAAACACACTACACCCCCAACTCCACCCCTAAGTTTTTTGGCCCCCGTTACCCTCAGGTCTATACGGCCTCCGCCGCCACAAAACGCAGAGGGGTGCTGATAGCCTTCCATCGCACAACACCTTTCACTCTATACACTGAAGTCAAAGATCCAGAGGGCCGCTATCTCCTGTTGATAGGGCAACTCCTAGACATAGACGTCACCATTGCTACATATTATGCCCCGAATCAAGGTCCTTTACCATTTCTTTCTCACATACTTTCGGTTATAGATCACCACAAGCGAGGTACCCTACTGGTCTGCGGAGACTCTAACAGTACGTTATATCCTTTTCTTGACAAGTCCCCCCAACCTTGCCCTCTCCCTACCTCTAAGCTAACCCTACAAGACATATTACAACGTTATTCCATGATCGATACCTGGAGGGAACTTAACCCGGCCAAACGCCAATATACTTTCTACTCCCACCCCCACAAGACCTTCTCTAGGATAGATCAAATCCTTATTACGGCCAGCTCCTCTTCCCGGCTCTTGACCTCTGAAATACTCCCAATACCCTGGTCAGACCATTGCTCTGTATTTACATCCATGGCTTCTCTAGCCCCATCCCCTACTGAGTCCTCATGGATCATCAACGACAATTTACTTGCAAATCCAGTACACTGATCGGAAATTGAAACCGCCCTCAAAGATTACTTATCTCTTAACCACACACCTGACATTTCCCCACTCTTACTCTGGGAAGCGCATAAACCGGTGATACACGGATTTTGTATTAGTAAAGCGTCCTTTTTAAATAAAGCAAAAAGACAACAACGTCTTTCTCTGGAGCAAACCTACAATCATTCCCATCAAATCTTCCAGGCGACCCCCACACCTGCCAACCGTGAAGCCCTAGAACGATCCCGATTAGCTCTAGACCTCTTTCTCACAGACCAGGCGGAACTCGCACTTCGTAGATCCAGGCACAAATATTATACCAAGGCGAAAAAGCCAAGTACCTTCTTAGCCCTCTCGCTTCGTAGGCTGGACCAGATTACTAAACCTATACGAATACGCACCACATCTGGCAACCTCACTAGTAATCCGGAACGCATCCTACGAACTTTCCATAAACATCTGTCACAGCTTTACTCTTCCTCCCGCACCCTTTGACCCCTTGCAAGCTGATACCCTCTTGGCCCCCATCTCCTTCCCGAAACTGTCAGAGACACCAATTAGCCAAGCTAGAGCAATCCATCACCCCAGCCAAAACCCTAAATGCTATTAAATGTCTAAAACCTCGCAAGCGCCCAGGACCAGACGGTTTCTCAGCCACTTATTACAAAAAAATTGCTCATCTTCTTGCACCTATCCTTACTAATGCTTTTAACACTTTACTATCTGGCCATACCTTCCACCGTGAAACGGTACAAGCAAACATCTCGATGATCCCGAAACCAAACTCGGATGACACGCAGTGGTCCAACTATAGGCCAATCTCTCTCCTCAATATTGATATCAAACTGTTAGCAAAAATCCTCTCCACGCGCCTTAATCCGTGTATAGGGTCCTTGATTCATAACGACCAAGTGGGCTTTATTCCAACTCGACAGGCCGGAGATAACGTTAGACGTGCATCTCTCTTGGCAAATATAGCCAAATCTCGCAACATTCCCGCCTGTTTCTTGTCCCTTGACATCCGGAAGACATTTGACACAGTCTCATGGCCATACCTCTACTATATTTTACACTGCTGGGGTTTTGGCCCGCACTTTTTAACCTGGATCTTCTCGCTATATCGAGAGCCTTCGGCCAGAATTAGATATCTAGGACACAGGTCAGCTCAGTTTCCAATCTCTCGAGGCACGAGACAGGGCTGTCCTCTGTCCCCCTTGCTCTTTGCCCTGGCCATAGAACCTTTAGCCCTATTAATTAGAGCTAACCCGGATGTGCGGGGATTGGAACTAGGTGGCACTCATCACAAGCTATGTCTCTTTGCAGATGACGTTTTACTTTTTCTCACATCTCCCTTGACTTCCTCTCCCTCCCTACTCCGGCTTCTCGAGACGTTCGGCTCGCTCTCTGGTCTTATAGTTAATCCCAACAAATCAATGGCACTCAACATCTCCCTTCCCTCTAATGAGCTGGCCCATCTGAAACAGATCCTACCATTCCCCTGGTCACACCACCATATCCCTTTTTTAGGAATCAAATTGACCCCTAATCTGTCAGATCTTTATGCAGCTAACTACATTCCGATGCTAAATCACCTCTCTGCTCTTTTGACCAGGTGGTCCTCCTTGCCACTCGCATGGATGGGTAGAATTGCAGTTATAAAAGTCAATCCTCCCAAAAATTTTATACCTGTTCAGAGTCCTCCCAGTCCCAGTCCCCTCTCATTACCTCCGTACGCTGCAGCGCCGCATTTCTTCCTACGTTTGGGGCAATACCCGTCCTCGTATACCCCGCCCCACCTTATGTCGCTCCAAGCTCAATGGAGGTCTAGGCCTCCCTGATATTGGCAAATATTACCAAGCAGCGCACTTAGCACAGTTGCCAAAATACCATGCGACCTCCGAAATTCCTCAGTGGGTGGTCCTTGAGCCGATAGAGTGCGATCCCCTGTCTACTGCTAACCTACTCTGGTTAAGGCCAGTAGACCGCCGCCCAATAACCAACCCCATTACCTCCCACTTCTTATCTTTATGGGACAAATTGAAAACCCGCTATCTCCTCCAATCGCCACATAACCCCCTGCTCTCGTATCTTCGAAACAGACACCTCTTTCATTCCAAGCATGGACCTCTGCTAACCTGCTCCATACACACCATTTCCTACAGAGAAATAAATTTAAATCCTTTGCCTCGCTACAGGAAACCTATAGTCTTCCAGCCTCCAAAATTTTTAGATACCTACAGCTACAGCACTTTTACGCCCCCTACACAATAACAAGCCAACCTAGCACCATGTCTCTCTTTGAACGGGCATGCTGCAAGGACCCCCACAGACGTGGCCTCATTTCATGCCTATATTCCCTCCTCACAACTTCGGTCACCATGTCCCCCCCCCCTTACACCCATAGATGGGAAACTGACCTAGGCAGGCAATTAGACTATCTGAGTGGGACCATATCTGGACTAATACAAAATCATCTTCGCAAAACATTGTAGCTCTAGAAACCAATTATAAAGTCTTAGCAAGATGGTATTTAGTCCCAGCGAGAATCGCTAAATACACCCCCAACTACTCGCCCAACTGCTTTAGAGGCTGTACTGACCTAGGAACACACTATCATATATGGTGGAATTGCCCAGTAGCTCAAACCTTCTGGGTTGAAATCTTCAACATGTTATCCACACTTAGCACTACCAAGCTACAACCCAACCCGATAACCGCACTACTCAATCAACGCCCTCCTGGCATCTCTAACTCGCAATTCAAACTCCTTCTGCAAGTCACCACAGCAGCCAAACAGGTCATTGCGAAATCCTGGAAATCCCCCTCATTAAATATTACAGCGGTTAAAACCAGAATAACGCAAGCTATGATACATGCAAAAGTGGAAGCCACAATTCTCGACATGAACCCTAAATTCTTCAATGTTTGGAGCCCCTGGGTAGAGTGTTTTCTCCCACCTAACTTTGATGAATCTCTTCTTCTCCCCTGATTTGTTTGTAGTACACCTTGGACACTGCCCATGTCCCACCTCATACGGTGCATATAGGTGTCGCCATGTTCCTACCTACCGCTCATGGAGTCATCACTGTTGCCCTTTCTCTCCCCCCCCCTTTTTTTTTTTTTTTTTTTTCTTTCCATTCCCCCCCCCTTCGATCTCCCCCTAAATTTCTCCAACCTTTCACAATGTTCAATGAGCCATTATCCTAACTGACCAAATCCACACGAAATCTATCGCTAACAACTCCCATTCACTAGTAATCACCAGAAACGTAGCATTGTTTTTGTGATCCTCTCTTTCCTCCTACCATAAGGACATTGACGCTGTGATTTTCTATTTCCTATGTTTTGTGGTCAGTACAGTGCCTATTTTATGCTGGTAATGACTCTGTTCCAGGCTGAGAACCACCGAGTAGCAGACGAGGGGCAGGGTTATTTTCAGCACCTGTATCGGTGCTTGTTTTCATATCGGCCAAAGGCCGATAGGGGTGTTTTCGGCCAAAATGTTTCGGCCACTGATATTTTGGTGCATCCCTAGTATTAAATGAACTACAGTTAACGTGTTCAATACCTTTTCTCCGTGTCATTACATTTTATTACACATAGCTTAATTTCTGAACTGTTTTGGTTTCTCTGTATGTATGGATTACATGGGTTGTTACAGATATGTAGTGAAAATTTAATGTCAATAGCACCTTTTGAAATATGTTTACCTAGAAAAATGGGGACATGTTCAATACTTATGTAACCTGCTATATGTCATATATGGAATATAGCTCCCATAGAATACAAAATATGTATGAAGCATATGGAGAGTAGATGCCATAAAATACAGAACATGTAAGTAGCATACAGAATATAGTTCCTATACCATACATGTATGCAGTATATTTCCCACAGAATACAGTACATGTATGTAGCATATAGAATATGGCTCCCAGGGAATACAGTATATATATATGGATGCATGTATGTTATCTAATGCATGCTAGTTAGAATGCATTTTAGATAAGGTAATTACCAGAAGGCAGCGTTGAGACTGAGATGGAGCAATGCGCTGTGTCGAGGTCTCTCCCAAACCAGTACGGCCTGCAGGTAGATGACAAGCGGTTCGTAGCTCCCCAGGGTCCCCAGTAAGGTTTCCTTCACAGCTCGGATCTGTTGATCTCTGTCCAATGCAGTCGACCTTCGTCCTCCCCCGCTCCTCGCTCTCCTCAGCCCCGAGCTCTCATCCTCGGTCCCTCTCTGCGCCATCTTGAATTCACCAAATTGTCAACATTGACGTCACTCTTAGGCTCTGACGTCAGAAAATAGGAGACGTTTACACTTGTTACACGGGCCACAGAATTTGATCAAGACAACAGGTCTCAATTACGTGAAAAAAAAACTACCAGCAGCACAACAGATCAATAAAAGCAGACCAATTACCTTTGGGAGACTAAAGCGCCTGCGCAAACCTATCACCAACCAGATAACATGGCGACCCCCTCTACCCCATAAACAACTTTTTTTCAACGTACATTTTTCCGAACTAGGTCCTGCAACCTCGCCTCTGATTTATCCAATCAAGGAAGAGCCTTCTTGTTTCGATTCTCTTAGCAGGCATCGAATTTCCGTACAATGACGTCACCAGACGGAAACTCGCAAGGTGTAGCGCGTCTGGGTTTGTTGTGCCGTACAGTGACGTAAAGCCGCAGTTGTCTGAGTAGAGCGCGGGTGGCGGAGCGGGAGAGTACGGACTTGCATACGGAATCATGCCTCGGGAGATCATCACCCTTCAGCTTGGCCAATGCGGGAACCAGAGTCGGTATCGAATTCTCTCATTATCTTATTTTGTATAGGTTAACTGAAATGGTTTACATCGTATCAGGGCGCTGTCAAATGAGTTATTTTGTGGCTGTCTATTGATACGTACTAGATGTGGGCGAACATATATGGCTAACGGTATCAGTGGGAGGGAAAATTTAGCATACAATTGTTTGACGTTTCAGTAATGGTATTGTTCCTGTACAGTGGAAGTTCTGTTTTTTTTTTTTTTTTTTTTTTTTTAGTGATCTTCCACTCGAATAAAATTTACTCTACACATTCAAGGTGGATGGGGGAATCTCTCACTCTGAGGTTTTGTATTCTGGCTGTGGGGAGACTTTCCTGTCAGAATACACTAAGTGGCACTTCTGGCGTTAATTGAGCTCACATTATCCAACAGGCTTGTTGTACAAAAGTTGTTCAGTGGATTAATTGTACAACCAATGTCCCCATACATGGATCAAAATTTGATCAGCCCACTTAACCGGAAGAGTTTTGATCCATATATGGCTAGTATAAAACCCCGTTCACATGTGACTGTTTCATTAGTTCAGTCATCCTTAGGCCCCTTTCACATGGGTCTCTGTTTTTCTTCCGTCAGTTGATGGATGAAAAACTGACAGATATACATTCCTGTGGGTAAAAGGATGATCATCCGTTTTACATCTGTATTTGTTCAGGTCCACTCTCATGTATTTCTGGTGAAAGAGTTATCAATTTAAAAGTTTCTGAACCGTCACCTTGTTAACAAGCTGTTTTTAATGTAGAGTATTTACGCGGTCCGGAATCTGCTTTACCAGGAATTCTTTATGGCCTCTCTGGACTTGCAGGATGCCTATTTCCATGTACCAATTCATCAGTTACTAGAAATATTTGAGATTTGCAATCCATTCAGAAAGGGGATTGCAGCTTTGGCAGTTCCAGGCGCTCCCATTCGGCATTGCGTCAGCTCCGAAGGTGTTCACAAACGTTTTGGCAGACGTCATGGCTATCTTGTGTATGCAAAGCGTAGCCGTTGTTCCTTAGTTGGATGACCTATTGATGGATGTTTGTGGTTTTTTTTTTGTTTTTTTTTTGTTTTTTCTCCCACAAAAGAGAGGCGGGAGTCAGACCTGGGTCTTCTTCACTGTCTCTCAGAACTACGTTCTTTAGGTTGGTTAGTCAACCAGCTATGGGTGCCGTAGGTGGAATGTTGCCTCTCACTCTCTTATTCAGTGAAGGAAAGGGGGGGGGAAATGGGCTAGTGAGAGGGAGAAAGATGAGAGAAAAGGGGGGGGGGGTATGGTAGACAGAGGGAATGGGGGAGAAAGAAGGGAAGTGTGAAATAGCAGGTAATCATCCCTAGTGACACCAATACAGTGATCAGTGCAAAAAAAATTGCACTGACACTGTACTAATGGCACTGGGGAGGAATGAGTTAACATTTGGGGACAATCAAAGGGTTAACTGTGATGAGGAGTGTTTTACTAGGGGGGCGGGGGTCTGTGCTTCACTGTAAGCACACTGATCGGGATGGCTGTGCTCAGCCAATCCCAATCAGTGTGCCCAAACTGACAGGGAGGAGGACTGCATTGTAAACAATGTAGCCCCCCTTCATGTCGGTGTTTGCTAGTAATCACTGTCTGGGACCCAGAGATTGACACCCACGGCTGCGATCGGCGGTGTAGGTAGGGTGGTCGTGCGCCTCGCGTGTGTCCCCTACCTGGAAATGCAAATTCACATGTGTATATATACACGTGATTTCGCACAGCAGAGCTGCCCTGCCGCAGTAAAAGTACTGTGAGTGGGCGGTAAGCTCTTAGTATAGTTTTACAGCTTTCCACAAAAGCCGATCATATACCGCATGCTTACAGTGGGCTGAGGTATCCAAGTGTAAGAAGGAACAATATGTAATCCCTGGAGTTAAAGAATATGTAAACCTAGATTTCATATTCCCGATACATGCTTTACTGTTCCATGTTCTTGTATGAAGAAATATCTGGTTCTTTGTATTGTTTCCTTTATGTGCTTGTCTGTCCCCCTGCTTTCCTATAATAACTGAGCACACTAGGCAGGAGAGCACAGTGCGGGCAGTTTTCTGCTTGTGCCAGGAATCAATCCAATGATCAGACTTATTCTGACAACACCCCCCCCCCTTCCTGCACTGCTATTCACTGGAAATATGGGAATATTAGTGTGATGCTGCTTCTGCTTTTGCCTTTCATTTCTACTTAAAACTGAATGGGTTGTTTTTACAGGGTTTACATATACTTTTAAAGTAGTACTATTGGCTAAACTATTTTTTTCGTTTTGGATGGAGCATGGGATTGTTACAACCCCTGTCAGTTTTTTTTTTTTTTTTTTTTTTTTCGCCATCTGTGCCCCATTTCAGAGAATTCCCTTTACTTCCTGTCCTATAGCCAAACAGGCAGTCAGCGGAATCCCTCCAATTTAAGGGAACCTTTTCGGGACCCCCCCAGGTGACCAGAACTACTGCCCCTATTGGAAAAGTTCCCCTTTTGGGTTTTTTTTTACTTGCCATGATGATGATAAACTGGACAAATAGAGTGAATCTCCTTAACTGGGGTTCAGATAGCAATATTAACTGGCAGGGGGTTTTAAGCCATCTCCACTCTCCATGCAAAACTAAAAAATAATTTGCCTTTAGTAATACTTAAAGCTTTAAAAAGCAAATCTGGCGAGTTGCGCAAACTCATGTTTTTACATTTTGTTTCCCGCAAATAGCATGCGTTTCTTTTATGAGGCGTATTATGGATATGTTTATAATTCCTTCTTTTGTCTCCTGGCAGTTGGGTTTGAGTTCTGGAAACAACTGTGTGCAGAACATGGCATCAGCCCAGAAGGGATTGTGGAAGAATTTGCAACTGAAGGCACGGACAGAAAGGATGTCTTCTTTTATCAGGTGATGGCAGCACTGCTTCTTATACATGTGCATATCTTAATTGTACAGAACACAGGCTGAGAGGCCTTAGACCCAAAGTTATAGGCTCGTATCTTCAGGTGAATGGAAACCAGCATAGAATTTGAAGACATACCCCCCCCCCCCAATGAGCATTTCTCTATAACCTTACCCCACTTGGTGAGTCCTCAGTTTTATGCTAGTGTTTTGATGTAATATACCTCTTCTTCCTTATGGAGAAATCTGTCTTTTTTTTTTTTTTTTTTAATTTAAATATTTATTTATTTTCCATATAAAAATACATATTCCATCATTACTCTCTTTATCACATACAAAACCATCAATTGATCTCTTTCTAGTTGTACCCCCACCCACTCTGAAGCCTATTCCCCCCCCCCCCGAAAAAGAAAAGAAAACCCACTCATTCTGCATTTCTCCATTGCATCTTTTCCTCAGTAAGGGGTACTTTCACATATCCCTCTCTACTGCTTCATATATTTCACCTTGGACACAAAATCTTCCCATTTTCCCCATCTCCTGTAAGATATGTAGGATGGAGAAATTGTATTATATGCAAGAAGACAAGATTGAGTTGTATACTCAATCTTGTCTTCTTGCATATAATACAATTTCTCCATCCTACATATCTGATTCACTCTTTCCACCCAATTCTCTTCTCTCGGTACCTCTGAACTATGCCAAAACTTAGGTATCAGACCCTCTGCCGCATTTAGGTAGTACCATATACCCAAATCCTTGTATTTGTTCATTGGTAGCTTTGTACTATGTAATACACAACTCTGGATCCAATCCTATCTTTATCCCAGAGATTATCCCAATTAAATAAACCACTGTCTCCCAAAAACCTTGAATCTTTGGGCACTCCCACCATATATGACATAACGTACCAATCTTTCCACACCCCCGCCAACACTCTAATGTATTCTCCCCACTCATATTCAACGTTCGGTGCAATGTGCCATCTTGTTAAACACTTATAGTTTACCTCTACCTCTCTCATGCTTACGTTCTCATGTGATAGTCTATATATTTCCCTCTGTTTTATCTTCATCTATCTCTATTCCCAAATTCCTTTCCCATTTTACTATGTACATTGTCTTTGTGTGTGTGTCTAACTCAGTGAGAATCTTATAAACTTTTGCCGTGCCCCGTTTCCCATCTCCACGTGAATCCAACAACCTCTCAAACAAATTCCAATCCTTTGTCAATCTCAAAGGTTTCGGAAGACTCCCGACAAAGTGTTTCAGTTGGTGATATCTCCACTCATCTATCTTAATGAAAAGTTCCCTTTTTATCCTTTTTCAAGTCCTTAAGTGTTCTCAATTCCTGCCCTTCCATAATATCCCTCAGTTGAATATCCTCCTTTTTAAACAATTTTCCTGTGCTCTCTTCCCTACCTGGAGGGAAATACTCAGTGTTCCTCAGTGACATTAATTGTGAATTAAAATCCCATTTCATAATCTTGTGCAATTTATCCCAGACCTTTAAAACATTTAATGTATAAACACTCATGGTATCTTTTAATCCT